TTGCTAATGTTTTACTTACATACATTAACAATCAGCTGAGATTGTTTAGGTTCAGTCATGGTGAAGGTATTTAGTGTCTTAACTGTATTCAAGTCCATAACCCAGAGGATAAACAAATGACTTGTGATCATCTGTGTCTTTATTTTGGTGATATGACAGATAAAAAGTTGACAATCTCCATTTTAGGGATTATGGTATACTTTTTCTTTCTCTTTATTTATTTGAATTTATTTTTTTACGTCAGAACCTGTAATTTACACAGGTAAATCAGTGTAAAAAATTTTCACCTCTGGGATTTGAACCAGGGCCACCATGGTTGGTAGGCCCACCATTATGGATGGGTTGGCCTAACCCTACAAGTGAGTAGTTGAGGTAGAGTAACTTTTAAGCCCATCATGGTCCAGTGGATAAGTTGTCTGCCTACCAACCATGGTGGCCCTGGTTCAAATCCCAGAGGTGAAAACAGCTCTCTCTCTCTGTCTCTCTCTCTCTCTGTCTCTCTCTCTCTCTGTCTCTCTCTCTCTCTCTCTCTCTCTCTCTCTCTCTCTCTCTCTCTCTCTCTCTCTCTCTCTCTCTCTCTCTCTCTCTCTCTCTCTCTCTCTCTGTCTCTCTCTCTCTCTGTCTCTCTCTCTCTCTGTCTCTCTCTCTCTCTCTCTGCCTCTCTCTCTCTCTGTCTCTCTCTCTCTCTCTGTCTCTCTCTCTCTGTCTCTCTCTGTCTCTCTGTCTCTGTCTCTCACTCTCTCTGTCTCTCTCTCTCTCTGTCTCTCTCTCTCTCTCTCTGTCTCTCTCTCTCTGTCTCTCTCTCTCTCTCTCTCTCTCTCTCTCTCTCTCTCTCTCTCTCTCTCTCTCTCTCTCTCTCTCTCTCTCTCTCTCTCTCTCTCTCTCTCTCTCTCTCTCTCTCTCTCTCTCTCTCTCTCTCTCTCTCTCTCTCTCTCTCTCTCTCTCTCTGTCTCTCTCTCTCTCTCTCTCTCTCTCTCTCTCTCTCTCTCTCTCTCTCTCTCTCTCTCTCTCATATTTAAATAAGGCATATACTCTCTTTTCCTGAGGGCTGTGATGGTATATTGAAAACAAATTAATTAACCAACCAAAAACAAAAGTATGATGATAATTTGCCAGACCTCAGATTAATCCATCAATCCAGGCTTTATTTTTATTTATTTTATTTTTTTTTGTCTCGAACAAGTTCCCTTTTTCATGTGTATTGCTTACTTTTTCTATGATAACTTTTGATTTTATTTTATAATATGTGTAAAGCCACTTCCATCTTTTCCCCCTAGATGTCCTCCCTTCCATTTGTCTAGAATTTAGCTCATGGATAAGTCCTTTTTGATCTTGTTCTCTGTTTAGGTTTTATCTTACCTTAAAATATAATGTAGTCATTAGTGTTGTTGTTTGATCTTACATATACTGTACAGTATTTACCTTGTTGACATTTATTTATTTATTTATTTTTTTCATATAAATTTTTCATCTCCCTGAGTTCCTGGATGACATATTATCATATCTTGCTGGTAGATTTTAGACTACTGTATATGCCTTTAAAGAATGCCTTCATATCAGAGTTTGGTAACCTTGCTGACAAGACCCTCTCAGAGACAGAGTAGGACCCTCTTTAACCCTCTTTGTAGTGCATGTGTGAACTGCATGACTGACTGTATTAAGTGTGCAACTTTACTTCAGCGAGTGCCTGTTTTCCTGGAACAGTGTACAGTACTGTACATTGAACAGAAACATTAAGGTATTGCTTGTCTATGGTCATCACATAAAGCTAGTTATTACCTGTGTTCATGTGTCCACATTATTACCCATTGAATATATATATATATATATATATATATATATATATATATATATATATATATATATATATATATATATATATATATATATATATATATATATATATATATATATATATATATATATATATAAACTGAAGTGTAGGCAAGCTACCCTATATTGTAGCAGTAGCATGTTTGTAATCAGGGCAAAAAGTTACAGTTTGGTCAAGGCAGTTGGGCAGATATTGGATTTGCTATAGTACTGAATTGTATAAAAACTGGTAACTCGTGATTTGGTCCTGCTCCAAATTATTCCTTTATGTCCATGAGATACTTCTCATAATAAAGCATAAATGCATGTAGTATAAAGCTTCTTAGCCTCTAAAGCTATATCACACAGGGTCAAATTTTTAATGTGAATCACTACAAGTCAAATATTACACATTATTTTAAGTCTTAAGATAGATATATAGTACAGTATACTGTAGTGGTGTTGCAGTGTACAGAAATTTATATAATAATTAAAGTAAAATTTTAATAACTTAATGGTGAAAACTAAGGTTTTTGATATTAGATTTGGTTAAGTTATCTTTATTAAATGTAAAATGCAGACTTTTTTACATTGTAGAAGTGCAATGTTTATCACCTGTGTTAAAGCATGATATAATATTTTATTAAAAATGGTAATGTACCACCTAAGTTTCCATTGTTTAAATATTATTATTGGACCCCAGGTTGTTATTGGAATCTTATTATCATTCATTAACCTTATATTGTACCTGCAGTAAAACTTCAATATACAGGCATATACGGTGATATATCCGTTAGCCGGAACAGTTGGTGCAGAGCACTTCCGGGAATGGGAGATTTCCGGGTAATGAGACGACTCTCTCAAAACCGGGGGAAAAATCCCTCGTCCCTGGAATTTTCCGGATTACGGAATTTTTTTAGAAGTTCCAGAATAATGCATTACAGTATTTCATCTCTCAAGGCCGGGAAAAAATACCTCATCCCCTGAGTTTTCCCGGTAATGAAAACGTATTCTCAGAAGTTCCAGAAATTGAGCTCTACATGATCTCTCGAACCCGGAAAAATATCCCCCAATCCCCAGAATTTTCCGGGCACCGAAAAAAAAACTTGGAATTTCCGGAAAATGACCCCGATTTTCGTCTCTCAACCCCGGAATTAAAATTCCCCATCCCAGGAATTTTCCGGGTACCTACCAGGAAAAATTTCTCTGAATTTTCCAGAAAGTGTGCCCCTCGGAAAATTGTTCCTAAAGCTGTAATTTTCCGGAAAATTACAGCTCTGGGTATCGGAGAGTTCCGAGTTTGAGGGATTCCGGCTAATGGAGATATTACTGTATAACAGTCTTCTCAGGTGTATTTTTTGGCTGATTGGAAGATCACAACCTAGTGCCCTGAATATCTTAATTGTTCTTGATTTTTTACTGTATCTTTTACTATAATGATGAAAGTTTCATATATTCTGTTCTATGTTGTCATCTTTTGATATAGTATGAACCACTCTAAAAGAATATACTGTACTGTATATTAATAAAGTCTGATACTTTGTGTTTTAAGTGATAATTAAAACTTTCCTTGATTTTCTAACTGAAAGCCATAATGTTGTGCATCTTGTTATGGAGAAACTGGGTAACCTTTAGAGGACACCGTAGCTGTGTGAAGTTACCTTAATACTAAACTAGTTTCTATAAAATGGCTGTGTGATAATGCTTTGGAGGTTTAAATTAGTTATATGTATTTGATATGTGACAAAGAGTGATTAGGTTGGGTTAATACCATATATATATATATATATATATATATATATATATATATATATATATATATATATATATATATATATATATATATATATATATATATATATATATATATATATATATATATATATATATATATATATATATATATATATATATATATATATATATATATATATATATATATATATATATACACACACACACACACACATATACATATATACACATATACATACTCTCCTCGACTTACGACGGGGTTCCGTCCCGACGACCAGGTCGTAAGGCGAAAATAATACGTAGACATTCTAAAATTAAATACGGTACAGTAAAAGTAATCAATAATGAAAAATGAATGAAGTGTTACTGTGAACTTACCTTTAATATACTAGTCAGCTGAATGCACACGGGGCCTCAATAATTTTTTAATTAAGCATGGAGACTACATTAATTGGATGAAGCAGAGGAGGAGACAGGCCTGGGTGGATCATCAAGTTCGCTTTTTTCACATTACAACCAAAGGTCGGGACTCGAAAATACGTAATGTGAAAGATATTTTACACGACCATGGCCGTCATATGTCCGGGTTGTCGTAAGTCGAATATGCCATAAGTCGAGGAGAGACTGTATATATCTCCGTTAGCCGGAGCAATTGGTGCAGAGCACTTCCGGGAATGAGAGATTTCCGGGTAACGAGACGACTCAAAGCTGGAAAAAAATCCCTCGTACCCGGAATTTTCCTGGTAACGGAAAAATGTTCTCAGAAGTTCCAGAAATTGCCTATTAATCATCTCTCAAACCCGGAAAAATATCCCTCATCCCCGGAATTTCCAGAAGATGCGCCTGATTTTCATCTCTCAAACCCGGAAAAGGGCTCCCCCATCCCCGGAATTTTTTTGGTTTCGGGAAAATTTTCTCTGAATTTTCCATAAAATGTGCCCCTCGGAAAATTGCTCCCAAAGTCGTAATTTTCTGGAAAATTACTTCTTTGAGAAAGATTTTACGAGAAAATTTCAATTCCGCCTATCAGAGAGTTCCGGGTTTGAGGGATTCTGGCTAACAAAGATGTTACTGTATATTGTAGTTTTGTATGTAATGCCACAAAGTTAGACTGGATGAAAGACTAGTGAAGTCAAGCAGCATCTAATGGATATGTTTATGTAGTGCTCAGATTTCTTTATGTTGATGCATGAAGCTTTGGAACCATGAATTGTACAACAAATTAATGCATCAGTATCCCTTTTGAATGTCAAATATTTGAATTATCAATCAAAGAAATTATGACCACCATTTACATTCTATGGAGTAGAACCTTCCCAGAATTCTCTATCATTGATTAACATGGGTTGGCTTTATCCACCCATTGGCTATACATGCTTACTTGTGTGCTTGCCAAGTGTGATTGTGCTTGGCACCCTTCTCATCGTTCCCAGCTTGGCAGCACCAACCCTAATGTGACTTCGCTTGTCAGTGTTCTGAGAGCCACACCTCTACTGAAATCTGACCCCGACATGCCTGATTTTGTAAGTGACATGCAAGATCGTGGCTGGGAATTCACAAATTGTGTCATCTGGCAGCTCCAGTGAAAGTTCATAGTATGATTTGGCTGATCTCTCCTGCACACAAGTTAATTGTACTGTCTTTTAACATGGTCATAGCTCATTATATCTCAGTCTCAGTCTGTCAAATTACTCTCCTACTTTCCACTAATTTGCATGTTGCATGTTCTTCTTTTAATAATTATTAACCAGTTCCTCTCACACTGTCAATAGCAGTGATTGTGTTAAACCTCATTTATTCAATCAAATATACAGATACAATATCATTTGCATCATAATTGAATTTTTCCAGTTTTCCTTTATGATTGGTGCAATAGATGTTATTTAACCTAAGTCTTTAAATATGCACTAAACTTTGGTGTGGAGGCATTTAATTCCCCCTCTTCTATAGTGATTAATTTTAGTCATTGATAATGGTATTGGCCATTGTTAAAAGCTCTTGTGTCATGGTCATGTCCCATGTGATGAGAGCATTACATAATGCTTTATTAGTCTGTTCATCGATTTTCTGTTCCACAATCCATGACAGAATCGTCAGTACCAGCAGGGCGGCAAGATGGCCGCAGACCGAACCGCCAATCGCTATAACCCCATTGGCAGTGGTGGCGGCTATGCTGGTGGTTATGGCGGTGGTGGAAGCGGTGCAGACTATACCAACCACGCGGCTGGCCAACAATCCTCATTCTACAGCTTCTCCACACCATCATTCAGTGGAGGGAACTACACCTCATTCTCTGGCATGAGTAATAATAACTCTGGCAGTAACAGTGGTTACGCTCGGTACTGAGACCGGCCCGTGTGTATGTTTTGAGTGACAAAACCAGGCTACTTGCAGGAGCTTAAAAAATACACAATGCAATCGACCTATTCCAGTGGGATTTTTGTAGATGAAAAGGAAAATAAACAGAGCTATTAACCTGTTACAGTGGTTTAAAGCAAAGTATTTTTTTTTTCTTTTTCTGTTTTCTTTTCTGTGATAGTGAATTCTACCCAAAACATTGATCTTGTAATTTTTCCTTCATATAAATAGTGGCATTACTTCTAAACCTTCCAAGCGAGGGCACTGACTGCTGCAATGTTAGTCAAGAAGTTATGTTCATCCTTCAGAATATTCAGGCTTCATTGTCATTGAGAAAATGTGCTATGCATTTTAAATGCTTAGATCTCTGGTGTAGTCGTCTTCGAAGTTGTCTAACTGCACTTTTTGAATTTTCAGCTCTGTTTTTTTATCTGGTAGAAGCAGGAAGTCTATTCATTGTTTATTTTTTCATTTTTGGGTGTTGAAATTGAAGAAAAAAAATATTGCTTTTCAGCAATTGTCACTCAAATAATTTTTTCTTTTTCCTTTTTGTGAATTCTGGTGAGTAATGCCTTGGCCAGATCTTGGTTTTAGTACCAAGGTTTTTCTTTTTCATATCTTGTATACTTGTTTGTTTATGTATTTTGGTAAATATATATTAACCAACGAAATGTCAGAAGAGTGTGTTTTTCATTAAGTATTTTATTATACTACTGTGGATTTCCCTGCAGCAGACAAGTGATGCTGCTGTAGCTAGATGTCATTTATTATGGTTATTATACTGTAGTCTTATTCATATATCCTATAATTACATAATTGATGGTTTCATATATCTTTTTCCATATGTGTTCTTTGATGCTTGGAAAAATGGTTTTTTTTTTTTGGTACAGTAAGGCGTTGTTTTAAGTTTTTCATTGAAATGTTGACCTCAGATGTTTTGTTTATCATGTTGTATTATTGGTCGGTAGCCACCATACCTGAACATACTGTAATATTTTTTTTTACTTCTTTTTTTTTCCCTCATGAAAACTCTACAAATGTTTTGTACAGTGCAACATTATTTTTGCTCACACTGTAATAAGTTTCTTGACAGATATATTTAATAAAGTGAAACTATCATATGTGCTTTTCTCCCCTGGTAAGTATTCTTAGTACAGTATTATATTTTCATGTGCAAGATGATAATATAGTCTGACTACCCTGGACTCCCACATTACGGAATGAATGTGTTCTTGAAAAAGTGGCTGGAACGCAATTTTTTTTCTGTATGCCGTATAATACAGTATAGTACTCCCATGTTAAAAGAAAAGATGTGTTCGCACGAAAATTTGTTCAGTCAGCGCAAGTACAGTCGGCCCTTAACGTACGTGGGGGTTAGGTAACAGAGATACCCATGAATGTTAAAAATCCGTGTACTTTTGCTGCCCCCTCCCTAAAAAACCCCTGGCCCCCCCATGTCCTTATTTACCGTATATACCTGTGTGTAGTTCGAGTTTTTAAGACCAAATTATTTGGCAAAAAATTGGGGGTCGACCTCTAAACGGGTAATAGTTTCGTTAGGTTGAAAAATATTTACCAATAAACAATGGAAACGACGCACCAACTCACCACCAGCTGTGAGTGTCGGTACAGTTGCCAGGGCAGATCTCTTGTGTCATCATAGCAAGCCCAAAGTAGCCAAATGCATGGTATGGTAGCACAGGACGATGTAAAACAAAGTATTCATTTTTTAAAGTTTATTTATAGATACTGTACATAAATTTTTGTTCATTACATTTGAAACATCAATCTTTGTGAATTAAATTTGAAACAAAAGAAAACTACGATGCCGTATTTTCATTAAAATATTACATCACAAGTATATTTTACCTTAACTGTGACTGAATGAATACATTCTCAGACTGAAATTACATATTACAGTTTAAAATCATGTTTTCAAAATTGTACCCGTATTGTATTACAATAATATTCTATCCTGTCATTAGCCTCATAATCTCACAACTGAAAACCATTCGAAAAGCGATTACAGTAACATCTTTTGAATGAAAGAAAGCGAAAGTCATTGTTTTCGTCATAATTTTATCCCACTTTCCACTGTAATATGTACGTCATTTCAGCCAAAATATTACATTTCCATATTCTCAGAAATAAATACAGGTTGTACCTCTGTAGTCCGGCATTCTGTGGTCCGGAGACTCCTGTGGTCCGGAACGATTTTAGTTTGTCCATTAGGTAGATAGGCAGCTCTTTTTTTTTTTTTTTATTTTTTTTTTTTTTTAAATTTTTGCCCAGGAATTATTATTATTATTACAGGAGTATTAAATTTTTGCCCCTCAGGCCCCAATGTGGGTCAGTGACCTATGCCCGGGTGGGCTAATCCCCTTAAAAAAAAAAAAAACAAAGCCGCGGGAAATTAAGGTTTGTTTACATCCGGCAGTTCGGCTGCTCTCTCTCTCTCTCTGCTTGTCTATACAGAGTACAACATTTAACCCTTCAATATATATGAGCAGTAAATAAGTGTTGCTTTCATATTCTTATGTAGAGTAATGACGATATGTTTTCACATGTGCGCACTTACATACGCGCAGTCTCACATTTTTTTTTACCATTAATGGTTAGCTACTTATATTGTTCCATTTATTAACATTAAATAACATTACAGGTACTTCAAACAACCACATTACTTTTTTACATTAATTTTCCTACAGTTAAAATCAGGCTCTTATTTTCTTCAGTTTTATATGTAGAACCAATCAGTCACTGGTTTCGTAAGCTTTAACATAAACAGTGCCGGCAGCCGTCTCGTCTCCTCTAATATTCCATGTATTATTAATAAATTGTATTGTTAATATTGCACCCACATACATTAATTCAATAAAAACAAATTCAGAAACATTAATTAAAATATATATGAACAGTAAATAAGTGTTGCTTTCATATTCTTATGTAAAGTAATGACGATATGTTTTCACGTGTGCGCATGCGCACTTACATACGCGATCTCTCTCTGTTATTTACCATTATCGTTAGCTACTTCTATTGTTCCATTTATTAACATTAAATAACATTACTTAAAACAACCATATTAATTTTACTACAGCTACAACCAAGGTCTTATTTTCTTCAGTTTTATATGTAGAACCAGTCAATCACTGGCTTTGTAATCAACGAAAACAATGCTGTGTCATTTCCTCGTGTGTTTTAATATTCTACGTATTATTAATGAATTGTATTGCTCATTTTGCACACAAACATTAATTCAATAAAAAAGACATTCAGTAATAAACAATAATGAATCTTTTGCACATAAGAGAAATGACGCTGTTTACACGATTATGCACGTCCTCTGCATGTTGGCGGGCCGTTCAAACCCGTCGAAATTCAAGTTTCCACCGTCAAAATTTTTATTTATTTATTTTTTTGTGTGTTCCAATAAAATACGTTAAGAATTAAAAACTCGCGAAATTTGAGAAGCTACTATACGACATTTAACCCTTCAATATGTCTTCAAAGAGACCATGATGCAGAGAAAGTGGTGCTAGTGCTTCCAAGCATAAGCACAAGTCACTATCTATCCAGGAAAAGGGTGAATTTCCATGGTCCGGCACCGGTCAGGTCCCGAGGTTGCTGGACTAGAGAGGTACAACCTGTAGTAGTTTTGTTGAAACGTAATGTGCAGTATTTAATATTAAAATGCAAAAAGAGCTATGAAAAACAATTAATACTGTACACTCGTAATGTATTGGTTGGCATCTCCACTTGTCCCTGCTTCCGTCAGTCACCACTCTTCCCCGCTCTATCCCTCCGCCTCCTCCACATCGTCACTACTGTTGTATTACAATAATATTCTATCCTAATTCACTTGAATAAATACTACAATACCATATTTCCGAATATTTTCATTAAAATCCATCAAAATCATTTTCCTTGTCATCGTCTTAAGCACCAAACAGCTCCTCCCAGTCTTCTCCTTGAACAGGGCTAGAGGGTACGTGTTTTTCGAATCGTTTTCAGTTAAAAAAAATGTTACATCACATGTATATTTTACCTAAACTGCGCCTGAATGAATATATTCTCAGAAATAAATAGTAGTTTTGCTGAAACGTGATGTACTTCAATGTAAAATAGGATAAAATACATGACGAAAACAAAAGACTTTACCTAACCTTCTGATGTTCAAGAGATGTTACTCGTTTTTTAATAGTTTTCGGTTAAAATACTGTTATATTACAATGATATTCTATTCATACTGTGCTTGATATACTACATTCACGGAAATGTAATATTTTTGCTGAAATGACGTACGTATTACAGTGGAAAGTGGGATAAAATCGTGACGAAAACAATGACTTTCGCTTTCTTTCGTTCAAAAGATGTTACCGTAATCGCTTTTCGAATGGTTTTCAGTTAAAAAACTGTTGCATCACAAGTGAATTAGGATAGAATATTATTGTAATACAACAGTTTTTTTTAACTGAAAACCATTCGAAAAGTGATTACGGTAACATCTTTTGAACGAAAGAAAGCGAAAGTCATTGCTTTCGTCACTTTCCACTGTAATACGTACGTCATTTCAGCAAAAATATTACATTTCCATATTCTCAGAAATAAATAGTAGTTTTGCTGAAACGTAATGTATTTCAATGTAAATTAGGATAAACTACATGAAAACAAAAGACTTTACCTAACCTTCCAATGTTCAAGATATGTTACTCGTTTTTTTAATAGTTTTCGGTTAAAATACTGTACAGTACTGTTATATTAGTGATATTTTATTCATACTGTGCTTGATATAATACATTCACGGAAATGTAATATTTTTGCAACTACAATGCTGATGTCAACACAAGCGTGGTTACAGCAAGACTGACTGAGTGACGGAGAGCTATGTGTGTGTGTGTGAGGTTGCGGGAGCGGGTGGTGTCCCGTGTTCGGTGCCGTGTGCGAGTTGAATGACGCGCGATTTGAATGTACTTCAATTACTTCAATGTACAAAATATTCCTCCGGCGGGGCAATCCGCGTATTTGCAAATTTGTGTAATGCTAAACCCGCGTATGTTAAGGGCCGACTGTAATAAAAACACTTATAAATGAAGATATACATATCTTAATACATATTAATTATAGTTTAGACATTTTATAATTTGACTCACCACAAATAATAGTACAGTACTTTAAATACTTAAAAATACATGTTTTACTTACCAGAGATGTTGGTGATTGGTGTGTGAGGTGGTGAGGGGATGGAGTTACAGGGAAGGAAAGGGAGGCTGAATCCCACAATTCAGCTATGTTATCAGTTACATTATATTGAACTTTTTTCCATAATTTCCAAACAATTGGATTTTCCTCTCCATCTGTTGCTTGATTCAATTGCTTAAAAGTTCTTCATAAATAATACTCCTTGAAATAAAACCTCGATCCATTGGTTGCAATAAGGCTGTAGTGTTCTTGGGGATGACTTGGTGCAGTTTAAGATGAGCAATGCTTTGTTTGAAATATTACGCTTGGCACAGTATCTTTCCACAGCAGAACAGAAGTTAGTTGGTAAACCAGTCTTGAAACACACTCCTTATCATCCAAGCATTTTTATTTCAGTGCCACTTCACAGGTAAGTTAGGCTTGGCGTAACCCTTTACTGCCCTGGGATTTTCAAAACGGTTCACTAGTGAAGACTAAACTTAAAATCACCAGCAACATTAATTCCCGCTAGCAGTGTCAGATGATATTTCAATGTCTTGAAACCTGATGCAAACTTCTCTTCCTTGGAAATAAATGTCCTGTCTAGCACGTGTTTCCAATAAAGACCTGTTTCATCGACATTAAATTTCTGTTCGGGTGTGTATCCTCCTTCATCAATAATTTGATCTTCAGTTCATTGGGATAAATCTTTGCAGCAGCATCATCAGCAGCACTGGCAGCTTTGCCACATTGTGCAAGGTAAATCGCTTCCTAAATCTATCAAAACATCCTTTACTTGCCTGAAAGTCTTTTTTTGTGAACTTCCACACCTTTAACAACAAATCATCATAAAAGCTCTTGTGTTTAGCATGAATAACCGTTGTATTTATTGGCACATTACATTGGGTCTGCTCTTCGATCTACACACTAAGGAGTCT